ATGATCCTAAATATATACGCACCCAATACAGGAGCAGCCAGATACATAAGGCAAGTTCTTAATGACTTACAAAGAGACTTAGACTCCCACACAATAATAGACATTTACAGAACTCTCCACCCCAAATCCACAAAATATACATTCTTCTCAGCGCCACATCACACCTACTCTAAAATTGACCACATGATTGGAAGTAAATCACTCCAGCAAATGCAAAAGAACAGAAATCATAACAAACAGTCTCTCAGACCATGGTGCAATCAAGTTAAAACTCAGAATTCAGAAACTAACCCAGAACCGCACAGCTTCATGGAAACTGAACAACTGGCTCTTGAATGTTGACTGGATAAACAATGAAATGAAGGCAGAAATAAAGATGTCTTTGAAACCAATGAGAACGAAGACACAACATACCAGAATCTCTAGAACACATTTAAATCACTGTCTAGAGGAAAATATATAGCAATAAATGCCCACATGAGAAGCAAGGAGAGATCTAAAATTGACACCCTATCATCAAAATTGAAAGAGTTAAAGGAGTAAGATGAAAAAAAATTAAAACATAGCAGAAGACAAGAAATAACTAAGATAAGAGCAGACCTGAAGGAGATAGAGACACAAAAAAAACCCTTCAAAAAATCAATAAATCCAGGAGTTGACTTTTTGAAAAGATCAACGAAATAGACAGACCACTAGCCATATTAATAAAAAAGAAAAGAGAGAATAATCAAATAGATGTAATAAAAAACGATGAAGAGGATATCACCACAAATTCCACAGAAATACAAACCATCATCAGAGATTATTACAAACAACTCTATGCACATAAACTAGTAAACCTGGAAGAAATGGATAAGTTCCTGGACACTTGCATCCTCTCAAGCCTAAACTAGGAAGAAGTCGAAACCCTGAATAGACCAAAAACAAGGTCTGAAGTGGAGGCAGCAATTAAGAGCCTACCACACAAAAAAAGCCCAGGTCCAGATGGGTACACAGCAGAATTCTAACAGACATACAAAGAGAAGCTGGTACTATTCCTTCTGAAACTATTCCAAACAATCCAAAAAGAGAGAATCCTTCCCAAATCATTTTACAAGACCAACATCATCCTGATACCAAAACCTGGCAGAGACTCAGCAAGAAAAGAAAACTTCAGGACAATATCCATGATGAGCATAGGTGCAAAAATCTTCAATAAAATACAGGCAAATCGATTGCAACCACACATCAAAAAGCTTATCTACCATGATCAAGTAGGATTCATCCCGGGGATGCAAGGCTGGTTCAACATACGCAAATCCATAAACATAATTCACCACATAAACAGAACCAAAAACAAAAACCACATGATTATCTCAATTGATGCAGGGAAGGCCTTTGACAAAATTCAGCAGCCCTTTATGCTAAAAACCCTCAGTAAACTAGGTATTTACAGAACATATCTCAAAATAATAAAAGCTATTTATGACAAACCAACAGCCAATATCATACTGAATGGGCAAAAACTGAAAGCATTCCCTTTGAAATCTGGCATTAGATAAGGATGCCCTCTCTCACCACTCCTATTCAATATAGTACTGGAAGTTCTAGCCAGAGCAATCAGGCAAGAAAAAGAAATAAAGGGTATTCAAATAGGAAAGGAAGAAGCCAAATTGTCTCTATTTGCAGACAACATGATAGTATATCTAGAAGACCCCATCATCTCAGCCCAAAAACTCCTGAAACTGATAAGCAACTTCAGCAAAGTCTCAGGATACAAAATCGATGTGCAAAAATCACAAGCATTCCTATACACCAATAACAGACTTAAAGAGAGCCAAATCAAGAACAAACTGCCATTCACAATTGCTACAAAGAGAATAAAATACCTAGGAATACAACTAACAAGGAACGTAAAGGACCTCTTCAAGGAAAACTACAAAGCACTGCTCAACAAAATAAGAGAGGACACAAACAGATGGAGAAACATTCCATGTTCATGGTTAGGAAGATTCAATGTCGTGAAAATGGCCATACTGCCCAAAGTAATTTACAGATTCAGTGCTGTCCCTATAAAGCTACCCATTGGTAGCTTCTTAACAGAACTGGAAAAAAACACCTTAAACTTCATATGGAACCAAAAGAGAGCCCGCATAGCCAAGTCAATTCTAAGCAAAAAGAACAAAGCTGGAGGCATCACACTACAGGACTTCAAACTATACTACAAGTCTACAGTAATCAAAACAGCATGGTACTGGTACCAAAACAGAGATATAGACCAATGGAACAGAACAGAGGCATCAGAGGCAACACAACATATCTACAACCATACAGTATTTGATAAACCTGACGAAAACAAGCAATGGGGAAAGGATTCCCTGTTTAATAAATGGTGTTGGGAAAACTGGCTAGCCACATGCAGAAAGCAGAAACTGCACCTCTTCCTGACACCTTACACTAAAATTAACTCCAGATGGATTAAAGACTTAAACATAAGACCTAACAACCTAAGAACCCCAGAAGAAAATCTAGGCAAAACCATTCAGGACATAGGCGTAGGCAAGGACTTCATGAACAAAACACCAAAAGCATTGGCAACAAAAGCTAAAATAGACAAATGGGACCTAATCAAACTCCACAGCTTCTTCACAGCAAAAGAAACAGTCATTAGAGTGAATTGGCAACCAACATAATGGGAAACATTTTTGCAATCTACCCATCTGACAAAGGGCTGATATCCAGAATCTACAAAGAACTAAAACAGATTTACAAGAAAAAAACGAACAAGCCCATTCAAAAGTGGGCAAAGGATATGAACAGACACTTTACAAAAGAAGACATACATGAGGCCAACAAACATATGAAAAAATGCTCATCATCACTGGTCATTAGAGAGATGCAAATCAAAACTACATTGAGATACCATCTCACGCCAGTTAGAATGGCGATCATTAAAAAATCTGGAGACAACAGATGCTGGAGAGGATGTGGAGAAATAGGAACACTTTTACACTGTTGGTGGTAGTGTAAATTAGTTCAACCATTGTGGAAGACAGTGTGGCGATTCCTCAAGGCCTTAGAAATAGAAATTCCATTTGACCCAGCAATCTCATTACTGGGTATATATCCAAAGGACTATAAATCGTTCTACTATAAGGACACATGCACATGAATGTTCATTGCAGCACTGTTTACAATAGCAAAGACCTGGAACCAACCCAAATGCCCATAGATGATAGACTGGATTGGGAAATTGTGGCACATATACACCATGGAATATTATGCAGCAATCAAAAATGATGAGTTTTTGTCATTTGTAGGGACATGGATGAATCTGGAGAACATCATTCTCAGCAAACTGACACAAGAACAGAAAATGAAATACTGCATATTCTCACTCATAGGCAGGTGATGAAAAATGAGAACACATGGACACAGGGAAGGGAGTACTAAACACTGGGGTCTATTGGGGGGAATAGGGGAGGGACAGCGGGGCCAGGGAGCTGGGGAGGGATAGCCTGGGGAGAAATGCCAAATGTGGGTGAAGGGGAGGAAGGCAGCAAAACACACTGCCATGTGTGTACCTATGCAACTGTCTTGCATGTTCTGCACATGTACCCCAAAACCTAAAATGCAATTAAAAAAAAAAGAAAAAATACTCATCATCACTGGTCATTAGAGAAATGCAAATCAAAACTACATTGACATACTATCTCACACCCATTAGATTGGCGATCATTAAAAAATCTGGAGACGACAGATGCTGGAGAGGATGTGGAGAAATAGAAACACTTTTACACTGCTGGTGGGAGTGTAAATTCGTTCAACCATTGTGGAAGACAGTGTGGCGATTCCTCAAGGACCTAGAAATAGAAATTTCATTTGACCCAGCAATCCCATTACTGGGTATATATCCAAAGGACTATAAATCATTCTATTATAAGGACACATGCACACAAATGTTCATTGCAGCACTGTTTACAATACCAAAGACCTGGAATCAACCCAAATGCCCATCGATGATAGACTGCACAGGGAAAATGTGGCACATATACACCATGGAATATTATGCAGCCATCAAAAACAATCAGTTCGTGTCCTTTGTAGGGACATGGATAAACCTGGAAACCATCATTCTCAGCAAATTGACACAAGAACAGAAAATCAAACACCGCATGTTCTCACTCATAGGTGGGTGATGAACAGTGAGAACACATGGACACAGGGAGGGGAGCATCACACACTGGGGTCTGTCAGGGGGAAATAGGGAAGGGACAGCAGGGGGTGGGGAGTTGGGGAGAGATAGCATGGGGAGAAATGCCAGATATAGGTGATTGGGAGGAAGGCAGTACACTGCCATGTGTGTACCTAGGCAAAACCTTGCATGTTCTTCACATGTACCCCAAAACCTAAATTGCAATAAAATAAAAAATAAAAATTCTTTAAATTCTGTAATATGATATTATTATATAAATTCCAAAGTTATATTACCCTAACTTTTGATGCTGAGAGCTGGCCAAAAACTGTAACAGTTGGGAGATAATTATTACAAACCACAAAAACAAATTATATTCTTGATCCAAATATTTCACTTGTAGGCATTCAAACTATCAAAAAAGCTAAATCCAAGGAAATGTTAACTATAGTGTTATTTAAAATAACATGAGGCTTACATTAGGGATTTACATTAGGAAAAATAGTTCATAAGGGTTACACTAGAAACAATGTCATGGGGCTTACATTAGAAACAATAGTGACAAAGGATTACCAATATGAAAAAAATACTAAAACATAATGAATAAAAATGAGATAGCATGTTAAACATGTTAAACATTCTCAATAATTTAAACTATATAGTGCAATATAAATTATCAAAAAAAATAGTAAACTTGAAGAAAATATTGTAACATAGATGACCAAAAAAAGAGAATACTCCTGTTATTCAAAGATCTCTTAAAACTTGATAAGAAAAGACAAATGACTCAATTAAAAATGAGCAAAGAATATACTTAAATCACAGAGAAAGAAGTGCAAATAACGAATAAGTATGAATAAAAATATGCTCAATTAGTAACACATTAAAAAGAATGCTTTTAGCCATTCATCAGATTAACAAAGCTATAAGGAATGGAGTACTCTTAACACCGCTACTAGAAGTATGTATTATTATTGAGATCTTTTGAGAAAATAATCTAGCAGTGCCAATTAAAATTTTAAATGCTCATACCTCTAAACCCAGGAACTTCACTTATCAGACCGTATTCTTTAGAAATAAAGGAACCAGTAACTAAAGAACTAAAGATACATGTTTAAAGACTTTTTAGTAGAGTAGCATACTGGAAACAAACTACATGTTTATCAGTAGAGGACTAGATAAATAACTTTTGGTACAGCCACAATATGGAATACTTTGAGTTATTAATAGTAATAATGATGAGTTGGATCTATATGTATAACCTAAGGCAGTGGTACTGAATGTAGCTGCACATTTGAACCACTTAAGGAAGTTTTACAAATTTTGATACCCAAGCCTCATGGCAAACAATTCAGAATCTCTGAGAATTAGACCTATCAGCACTATTAATGCTCCTTGAAGATTCCAATGTGCAGCCAAGATTACAAACTACTAATTTCACGGAATGTCGATAATATATTGTTAAGCAAAAGAACCCATTATGAGTATATTATGAATCTTGAAGGAAAGAAGGAAGAAAAACAGTAAGGAAGGAAGGGACAAAGGAATAAATGAACTACAGAAGAAAGGAATTGAAAAAGATTTGTGTGTGTATGCATATATATTTATGCATATATGTGTGTGCATATGCTTCAACATATTAATGTTTATACATATTCAAATATATACATATTCATGAATTGTGTCTGTATATATTCATTCCTAGAAGGACACAAGATAGATGTTGAAGAGCACACATCAATTTTAACATTAGTTACCTCTAGAAGTATGGAATTGAAGGAAAAAATAGGATTTTATTAATTTTTTACATGGTAATTCAGAATTGTTTAAGTTTGTATAATAAGCATGGGTTACTTTGTTTAAAAACTGTAGTCCCAAATACTTAGGAGGCTGAGGTGTAGGGAGGATCTATCGCTTAAGTCCAGGAGTTCAAGGCCAGCCTAGGCAGCACAGCGAGATTCTGTCTCTAAAAAACATAAAAGTAGATCAGATCAAATTATTCTACTGATCAAAGACTTTCAATGGCTCCCTGTTCACACATTATAAGTGAAGTCTTTACATTAGCCTGCAAAGCCCTCAATGGCACAGCTTCCCATTTCCTCTCTGACCATGTCTCCTACCACTTTTCCTTTCAGCTCCAATCGTATCGTCCTCCTTGATATTCCTGAAATACTCAAATTTCTCAAATACATAGTTCCACTCTAGGGTCACTGCACTGGCTGCTTCCTCTGTTTGGAAGATATTCCCCAGATATCTCATAATTCTGGGGTTCCCAACCCATGGACCACAGACAGGTACCAGGCTGCACAGCAGAAAGTGAGTGCCTCAGCATTACTGCCTGAGCTCTGCTCCTGTCAGATCAACCTTAGCATGAAATTCTCATGGAAGTGCAGACCCTATTGTGAACTGCGCATGCAAGGGATCTAGGTTGTGCGCTCCTTGTGAGAATCTAACCAAGGTCTGTTGATGTAGGTGAAACAGTTTTATCCTGAAACCAATCCCCAGTCTGTGGAAAAATTTATCTTCCATGAAACTGGTTCCTGGTGCCAAAAAGCTTGGGGACCACTGGCATAATTAACTCCCTCACTCCCTTGATGTCTTTGCTCAAACATCACCTTCTCGACAAGGCTTATGCTGATGAACATATATAAAACTGAAACTCACCCAGAATTCCAGCACTCCTGATTGCCTTTATTGTGATCTACTTTCTTTATTTCTTGAAAGCACTGATCACCTTCTAACATACTATATAATTCACCTATTTAGTTAGTCTATTGTTTATTATTTTCTGTTCCCTGCTACTATAATATAAATTCCAAAAGGACAGGGATCTTTGTTTTGTTCAATGAGTCATCCAAATTATCTAGGAAAGTATATAGAACATAGTAGTGGCTCAATAAATATTTTTAAATGATTATGAATTCTCTAACATATTATTCTGTTAGGAATAGATTACTAGAAATGAGTTTACTAGCTTAAAGATTGTTAATGTTATCAAAATATATTGTTATCAAATTGCTTCCCAAAATGTTTGCAAGATTTTTTTTTTGCAAGATTAAGTAATTCACCCAGGGGCACTCAGCAACTGGCTGAAATGAATTTGAATTTTTCAGAGCCCACATTCTTAACCATGTGCCATTCTGCTTTGGTTCAATAGATTGAACTAAAAGAAAAAAGCATAAAGTGGGCTTTAAATAACAGTAAGATCCAACTATGCACTCCCTGAAGGAAGGGAAATATCTCATTCATTTTTCTATCCGTGGAGCAAAGTAACTGGCATAAAGGAAGAACTCACTGCATACTTACAGAATTAATTTTTTTAAGATTTTTAAAGTAGGACAAAGCAATCTTCCTGTCACAGCCTCCCAGCACTTTGGGAGGCTGAGGCAGGAGGATTGCTTGAGGCCAGTTTATGACGAGCCTTGACAACATAGTGACACTGCATCTCTACAAAAATTTTTAAATTAGCTGAGTGTAGTGGCACATGTCTATAGTCCTAGCTATTCTAGAGGCTGAGGCAAGAGAATTGTTTAAGCCTAGGAATTTGAGGCTGCAGTGAGCTATGATCATGGCACTGTCTAAAAATAAATAATAAATAAAAATTTTAAAGATATTTTTCAAGTAACACTACAAGTAAGAATTATGAAAAATCCCAAAATTTGAGGGGAAGTTGATCTGTGCATCAAAACAATTACCCATTTTTTAAGGCAATCAGCAGAAATCTTACCTACAAAGGGGCAATTGAACTAAAAGCACCAGAATCCCTACTAGACATCAGCATTGTGTATTGTATACTGTGTATATTAGAATTCTTCATTAAAATAAAACTGAAGGTCAATGAAATCTGTCTCCTTCTGCCCTTTGTCTATCTTTTTTGCCTTTCTTCCAAGAGCTCTAGAGTTCCCACAGCAGCTCCACAATGTAGACAGCAACAACTTTCCCCTTTTTGAAATCACTCCTGCGAAGAGTATATCACTGCAGACATCAGTGACCTCTACCCCCGACCCCAGTTTCAGCCTATTCATCTTTGCTTTAGATCAATGATATCTCCTACCCTATCATTCTCTGCCTCACCTCTCTGTTTCTACCTGATCCCTCTTTCGGCACTAAAGGCTCAATCCTTGGCAAGGACACACTCAGAAAAGTGTGACTTTAGAGAAGGCTCCTTTTGCCAAGAGAAACATAATTTTCCATCACAGTAGACCATTGTCGTGTTAGCCTCAAATGGATTTGTAAAATCCAGAGCTTCCAAGGTCTTGCTTAGATAGATCTGATATAAGAGTACTGCCTATATTGATTGTACGCCAGGGCTTAAACCCCAAAGAAGAGACAATGTACAAGTTCACAGGAGCATGCTCTAACCTTTGACAGCCTCATCTCCCTGATAAAATGGGATGTAGGTAAGCTTCAGAGGTGTTTTGGGCTTTCCCAGCTTTTGCATGGCAAAAGTATAGCCATGTAAATTGGAACTCTGTCCCAATTCTCCTGTTCCTAGGCCTTTCTGTTACTCAATAGCTGGCTGCAGAGAGCTGAGTTAGATTAACTCCTAAATCTCTTTCAGTATACTAAATTTGGTTTCTTTTTTAAAGATTCAATTTTTCGCCATATATGAGGAGACCATCTACTAAGTTACTAAATAAAACTGGGAAAGAAATCTCTGAGAGAAAAAAAAAAAACTGCTGTGAAGTTTTAGAGCTGAAAGTTGTTTAGGATAAGAACAAAATGACGTCCTTGCTTACATACATAGAAATCATTCAACATCACAACTCCATACATTACAATGATGTAGTCATGGTGAGTTATGTCCCAAAGAGTGATCCTGGGTAGGAAATCCCAGAGGGGCAGAGCTACCATGGCTCAAGTGTAGCCCTCCAAATCTGCAGAACAGCCCAAAACTAATCTGTATTCTGACTTTTAGAGCACAGGCTTTTGCTGCATAAGGACGTCTGTGCTCTTACGAAGACTGGATGGCCATCTGCCACTAAAAAGACTCCATCTTTTCAACATTCAACATTCATCTCATAGATGTGTGTGAGTGTCTGCTATATTCCAGGCACTGTGCTAGGTATTCAAATCTAAAAATGCAGAGAGAAGTGATGGTCTTGATCACTTCCAAACTCAAGACTCTGTAACATGGAGGGTTCAATAAATAGGAAAAAGAAACAGGTGTTGTGGCAAAATCTAAAGGTGACAAGTCATACCCCAGGCATCTTGATGAATCCTGGAGGATGTGCATATTTTTGTTTTGTCTGTGTGTGTCTGGGTGTATAGGTGCCTTCATAGACAGCAACATATTTTAAAATGTATTGATTCCTTACACAGAAAAGAGGAATTCTCATAAATTAAATTCTCATAAAAAATTCTCATAAATTAAAAGGCCTTCTATTAATCTTCTAAACACACACTTATGTGACATATCAGACAAGTGACTGAGACAGAGTCTTGTTCAGTACCATGCACGAATGAGCAATCACGTGAAGACCCACAAAAAGCATGAGAAGCAATGCAAGTAGTGGTAAAACTTACCAATTTTCTCCAGTGGTGCAGGTATGCTTTAGCTAATTGTTGTAATGTTACTATAACGTTCTTCCTTTCACTTTTTTAATTGTTTCTAGAAATGAAACAGAAAAAACGAAATACTAAAAAACATGAAATAAAATACACTCTAATTTGGATATTAGTAACAGGCTTTCTGTTTGAACAGTTTTGCCTTTTTAAATTGTATATGAGAGAGAGAGAGTGCATGTATGTGTGTGTGACAGAGAAAGAGAGAGTGTGTGTCTCACTCTGTCCCCTAGGCTGGAGTGCAGTGGCGTGATCACAGCTCATTGCAGCCTCAACTTCCTGGGCTTACACTGATCTGCCATCTCAACCTTCCGAGTAGCTGGACTACAGGCACACACTGACCATGCCTAGCTAATTTTTTGGTTTCTTAGTTTTTTGTTTGTTGGATTTTTGTTGTTGTTGTTGTTGTTGTTTTAGAGAGATGGGGTTTCACCATGTTGCTCTGATTGGTCTCAAATTCCTAGGCTCAAGTGATTCTCTTGCCTCGCCTCCCAAAGTGCTGGGTTTACAGGCATGAACCATCACACCCAGCAGTTTCACCTTTTTAATATTGATCCTTGGATTTTTTTTTAACCCGTTTTCTTTGCTGCAAATTTGCATTTTTCCTTTTCAATACTTTTACTTCTTTCTGGCCAACTAAGTCAGAACTAAGTCTGCTTGCCATTACCACTTTAATCAGTAACTGCCATGGGCACCATTAGAACTGCATTTTAAGACATCCAGAAATCTGTTACCCAAACATCATTCATTCATTCAACAAATTTTTTTATAGAAAGAAAGTATTCATTTTTAGTTAATATGAATAGAAAGCATACACTTCAGGGGATATAACTTGATACTAACATTAAGCTTAAAGTTTTGCATTAAGAAAAATGTTTTTTAAATTTTCTTTGTTGTCAGAAGAAATCACAAATTTATTATCTCTTAAATATATCAATCAGTCATTTACCATCATGGCAAGAAATATATACAGTGTCCCATGGTAAAATGCAATGTTTCAAAATGATAGAAGATAATAAAAGTATAATTCAATTGTGGTGGAGAGAACAAATCACAATTTCCTCACATCTTAGTGAGTAAACTTGATCTACAGTAATCCTTCAACACCGCATGCTAAGTTAAAAGAGTAAAAAAAAACACTCTACACCTATTTTTTTTTTTTTTAGGAACAGAGTCTTGTTCTGTCACCCAGGCTTGCAATGCAGTGGTGTAATCCTAATTCCCTGTAGCTTCAAACTCCTGGGCTCAAGCAATCCTCTCATTTCAGCATTTCCAGTGGCAGGGACTACAAGCACGTGCCACCATACCTGGCTAGTTTTTTGGGTTTTTTCATTTTTTGAGATCTCACTCTGTTTCCCATGTTGGTCTCAAACTCTTGGTGTCAAGCTATCCTACCACCTCAGCCTCCTGGGTAGCCAGGATTATAGGCTCAAGCCACTGTGCCCAGTAAGAAAATATAAAAATTTTTAAGGAGTCTGTATCAAATCAAAGCCAGTTAGTCTTAGGTTCTATTGTTGTGCATCAGAACTAATAAATATGGTCAAATGAAAGCAGATTTTGTGAGTCATTGTACGTAAAAATTTGGATTCTGCTTCTTTTTGCTCTTTAACCAACTCATATATCTCTGAGTATGGGCAAGTCTTTTAACTTTATTTTCATTATGGAATACAGGTCCTAATGTTATCCCTTTAATTTCTATAATAGTTAATTTTATGCATCAACTTGGCTAGGCCATAGTTCTTTGGTCAAACAATGATCTAGCTGTTGCTTTGAAGGTATATTTCAGATGTGATTAATAGTTAAATCAGTAGACTTCAAGTAAAGCAAATTGCCCTCCATAATGTGGGGAGGCTTCATCTAATTAGTAGAAGGCCTTAAGAAAAATGACTGAGGTCTCAAGAAGAAGAAAGAATTGTATCTCCAGACTGCCTTTAGATGTGAGACTGCAACAGTAACTCCTGCTGGACTTTCCAGCCTGCAGACTTGCCATGCAGACTTTAAACTTTCCAAACCCCCACAGTCCACAGTCTCATAATAAATCTCTCTCCCTCTGTCTGTCTGTGTCTGTCTGTCTGTCTGTCTGTCTGTCTGTCTGTCTGTCTCTCTCTCTCTCTTTCTCTCTCTATTATATGTATAATGTATATACACACAGATGACTCTTGAACAACACGAACTGTTTTTTTTTTTTCAACCAAACGCACATTCAAAATACAGCACTCACAGGATGCAAAACCCATGTATGTGGAGGGCCAACTTTTAGTATATGCCAGTTCTGCAGGGATGTCTGCAGGTTGGGCTATTGGTGGGGGCATCTCGGAAACCAATCCCCCTGTGTGTACCAAAGGACTAATTTGTGTGTGTGTGTGTGTGTGTGTGTGTGTGTGTGTGTGTGTGTGTAAATCTTTGGTTCCACTTCCCTGGAGAACTCTAATGTAATTACCTTCTTTGCAGTGATCTTCAAGACGGGATTGTGGTGAATTTAGAAATACATAGAAAGACCACTGAACATTTATCACTCTCGGGAGATAAACTTTTCTTGAAGAGCCTATTATCTCCTCTCTCCCTCCTTCAGCACCCACTTTAAAGAAGTAACAATAATCATGATCACATTATAAAGGTAAGCAAAACTCAGTGTCATGAAATCAAATCAATCAAACTTAGGCTCTCTTCTAAAGTCTAAAGCAATATTCTTCAATGTACAATCAGTAACATTTGTTTATAGATAAAAACTACATATCTTATTTGTTTCAAATAAATTTCTTAATATATATCACACACTTACCATCTACTCTGCTTCTCCTTTAATGATTTCATTCTCCTCTGATAGCCTATTATAGAAGCCTAGGATGTAAAATCATGAAACTCAAAATTCTGCACTTTAGGGTAAACTTTAGGCTTGAGAGCTTTGGAATTTTTATCTATCTGACAAAGGACTTCGAAATCACATGACATAATCATCACATGACATAACTGAATTTGCCATCAATGAATACTCAGAGGTGTTATTAAAAGTTTTCCATCCCAATGCATATTTGTTATTAGTCTCACTCACTTAGCCATTTAATAAGTGGACAACAAATCCAGCAGCCTTCGAATATGGAAGAGTTCCAAACCTTTGCAATTAGCATGACATCAGTTTATATAGCCACTGTAATACCCACTGCCATACACACCATGGATGCAAAGTCCATAAACAAGTGAAACCTCACCCATGAACACTAAGTAAATTGGTACCAATCAATGGGTACCCAGGATGCCTGATATACAGCTTAGAACTAACTTAGCTTCCAGAAGTATCTTGCCAAACACTTCTTAATTTGCCTCTTTTGCTGCTTGGGGATATGTTCAAAGCAAATATATATAAATCTATATTCTCCACACTTTACAGATTGTCTGGTAAAGGGTAATCTCTGTAAGTAAGAAAAGAATTTCAAGCTGTTTTATAATCAGTTTTTAAATCCCTTTTTAAATATTTTGACTATGTAAAGCAAAAATATATTGTGAAATTTATAACATGTATAAGTAAAATATATTAAAGTAATAACAAAAAGCCCAGGAGGAGAAAAACAGAAGTCTGAAAGTTTCTCATATCATATAGGAAATGATATTACTTGAAGTTATACTGTATTAAAATATATAATTAAATTCTAGAGCAACAGCTACCATAAAGCAGTATAACTAATAAGATTATAGTGAAAATGAAATATAATTAAAATACTAAAATAAAACCCCAAAACAAACAAACAAAAAAACTCAATCTAGACCAAAAAGGAAAGAAAATGAACACAGAACAAATGGAGAGAATAGAAAAAAAAAAAAAAAATCACAAAATGGTAGATTTAAACCCAACCATATCAATAACTACATTAGAATTTTTAAAAAAGGAAAAATAATATACCACCCTAACATTTATCAAAATAAATTCTGGACAGGATATTGCAGAAACCTCCAACCCAGAGCCACCAATGGGCATAAATAACAAAAGCTCCAGGGAAAGTGCTTTCCTTCTAGCCAAAGGACAAGGGAAAAGGTGGTGGCCTAACAACAGAAAATCTTTCTGGCAGTACCCTTGCTGCTCCAGCTAAGCGCCAACAAATAAACCACACCCCCAGGTCTCAGTCAGTGAGCAGGGAAGTTGATCTTCCACCCCACCTTCCTTCCCAATAGAAGCCAACTGTGGGCTCTGGTTTCCTGCTTGGTAGTGTCAGCAGGCCAAACAGGGAGCTGGTCTCCCATTCCCCAGTTGGCAGAAGCAGGGGGTGCTCCAATCTCCCAGCAAGAGAGTGTCAGCAGGGTCCAACAACAAGCTGAGCCTCCATCTCTACCTGGCAACAACGAGGTAGAATTAGGTGCTGTGAGGTGAGGCAGTCAACACTCAGCTTCCCCCACCCCAATGTCGGCAATGCCCAGTGAGGAGCTGAACCTCCACACCCACCCAGCGGCCATGTAACTGAACAAGGCAATGGAAAGCAGGGCTAATTGAAGTTCCTGTTTCCACCCCATTGTCAGCAAGGCCCAGTGATGAGCTAAGCCTCCACTCCTTTCATACCAATCAGGCAAGAAGTCTAGCTGACCCTTTCCTTTCCCCGCTTACAGCTGGCCCAGCAGAAGGCTGAATCTCCATTCAGATGCAACAAGGCAACGTGATTTAGTGGCTCCCTTTTTGCTGGGGTGGTGCCAGTGGCACCCAGCAGGAAACTGAACATATATACCTCCACCAAACTTTACACTACACCTCTACAGGAAAACTACCTTCTAAAAAAAAAAACGATTAAACAGGATCCAGAGTTTCATAATTTTAAAAAATAATAATAATGTCCAGGCTACATTCAAAAATTACTTTTCATTCCAAGAATTAGGAAATCAGAACATTAATGAGAAAAGACAATCAACTGATATCAACACCAAGATGAATCAGATGCTCAAATTATTGGAAAAGGACTTTAAAACAACTCTCACAAAAATGCTTCAGTGAGGCTGGGTGTAGTGGCTCACGCCTATAATCCCATCACTTTGAGAGGCTGAGGTGGGAGGATCACTTGAGCCCAGGAGTTTGAGACCAGCCTGGGCAACATGGTAAGATCTCATCTCTACAAAAAAAAAAATTAGGGGATGTTGGTGAGTGCCTTTAGTTCTGGCTACTCAGGAGGCTGAGGCAGGAAGATCTCTTATACCCAGGAATTTGAGGCAGCAGTGAGTCCAGAGAACTGAAAACTACAGTAACTAAAATTTAAAAGCTCTCTGGATAGATTCAATATAAAAGGGAGATACCAGAAGAACAGAACCTGTAAACTTTAAACAGATCAATAGAATTTACCCCATTTGAAAAACAGTTAAAAAATAGACTGAAAAAAAAATGAGCAGTTTCAGAGACCTATAGGATAATAACAAGAGATCTAAATTCATATCATTAGAGTTTTCGAATAAGAGGAAAGCCATGGGACTGAATAACTATTCAAAGAAATAATGCCTGAAAACTCTCCAAATTTGGCAAAACTATAGGGCAGATGTAATTGACTATAATCATGAGGATATAGAGTTGCTACTATATAATGGGGATAGAGAGAAGTATGAATAGAACTCAGAGATTTATTGGAACATGTCTTGTTGTTTCCATGCTTGGTGATAGCACTGAAGAAGTAATTGCATCAACCAAGGTCTGAAAAAGGTACAGTAACCAGGGACTTAGGCCGTTCAGGGATGAAGGTCTGAGTCACCAAAGAGCAAGAAACTGAGACCACCAGAAATGCTGAATGAGGGAGCCTAGAACAAGTGAGAGAAGAGGGAGACAATAGATAACAATAATGGTCTTGGGACCAACTGCAGCACAATGACTATGCTTATCTGACTAACTCTTCTGTTGTAGGTTTTTTTTGTTTTGTGTTGTGTTTTAAGAAACCATAATCAGCCACCACACTGAGGAATAAATGACAGGACAAAGCAAATATAATGTTGGGTAAGAGTGTATCGGAGCAGTGGAAGAGCTGACCAACACTATCAATACCCTCCCCTGCATAACCCAATAACATTTTTCATGTGTTAGCACACTGGCCCAACTTTCAACTGTCAGCACTGACTGGTAGCCAGTCAACAAGGTGACCTCGATGATCTCCAACATCTCTTGTATTCATGCCATGGACAGTCCCCTTATACACTGTATAAGGATGGGTCTGTGTGACCAAGAGAATACAGCAGAAGTGGCTGGAGTCGCCCTGTGGGTCTCAGAAGGAAGGTTGAGTTGGACGGCGGTTGGTGCTTGCTGAGACAGCACCTCAAGGGTGATGGCAGAGGGAGGTAATCACAATTTGCAGGCTGCAGAGACTGCATGTTTAGAGAATAGCTGCAAGAATGGGGAAAAGTGATGTTGATAGTGGATAAGGTCCTATTATGGGAAACAACTTTAAAACCTATTATGGGTTTCACTTGCCATCTTGTACTTGGTTTCTGTGGTGTTTCAATTATCTACTATCTAGATCCATCTATTCTGTCCGCTATTTCCTCTTTTGTTATATTTTGGTGCTTGGCTGAATACCTTGCTCCCATTCTAGCATCTAACATTTTTGGTTCCAATAAATGCACCAGTGACCAACAGCAAAGATTCCATGAAATTTGCAGCAATCTACCAAAAACTCAATGCAAAGCTATGGACTGGTGGAAACATATCTTTACACTGAAGGAAGGAAAGCCTGAAATGCATTTCGTGGCCATGATCGTTTATCTCGCTGCAGTTGCTTGGGTGGGACAGCAAGCCCACAATCTGCTTCTCATCTACCTGATAGTGACTTTCTCACTGTTGCTTCCTCAACTAAACCAATACAGACTCATTTCAAACCACACTGGAAAGGCCAAAGGGAGACAAGCAAGCTTCTTGAACAAAAAGACAATAAAAATGAATAAATCATCTGCTTTATTCAATGTGATTAATGGCATATACATCGTCCCTAGGAACAGTTTCTACTATACTATCTGGATACTAAAATGTTAAAGAAGTAGCTCTTTTTTCTCTCTCATTCTGCCTTAATTATTCAATAGTCGAAATCCAATAAAGGTTAAAAAAAAAAAGAAATTCAAACTTGCCAACTAAGTGTCTTAGAGTCAAATATAGTTAAATGCATTCTCATTGGTGGTCTTGCATGGACAACTCATTAGTGAGTATGATTTGTTTTGATTTTTCTCACCCAGGGTTAATGGAATTCTTACATTTAGACAACTTGCTTTAAAATAATATAGTGGTGAACTGTATACTTTAGTACAGTTAAAGTGACTTTGGATAATTGTTTAAGTTGATCCTTGCTTTAGTTTGATATCAGGTAGTTGTCTGTGGCTACAGGTCTGTTCTACTGTCTGCTTCCACTTCCTGCTTAAAAAACTGTCTGGCTTCATGAATATAGAGACCAAGTTTACCACTTCTGATGAAGACACCAATTACGATTCATTCCTCATTCTGTTTTTTTTTATCATGGAAAAAGGATCCTGATGTAACAAAATTAAATTAATTATATGCCCTAGTATATGTAGATTTCTCCCTTGTACAAAACATCGTTTTGTGTGGAACATCGATCCTTTCTCCCAAATGAGGAAGATCTAACAGCATTAGAGCTCTTGTGCCCTTGCACTTGAACTTCAAGTTAGTATATCCTTCAAGGCTTTTTAATAGCAGACTTCCAAAAGATTGTACTTAGGAGTTTTGGCATAGTTTTAATTTTGGATTTTCAGCTGACTTTAGCTATAACAGAGAGAGTATGTTAAGACTCACATGTATGACCTTTACTCCAAGACCAGCTAGTAAATGACAAGTCTCTTATGTTAATCAAAATTCATTTCAATAGAAAATAATCTTATCTGACTAATTTTTGAGACCATAATAAGCCTTTAAAGATAAACCTCAAGGTTCTCATTTATGATAAAACTGGCTGTTTCAGTCCCAATAGCTTTGGCATAGGAGATAGTAACCACACTGGTGTCTGCCTTTTTCTTTTAGATATTTCTCTGAAAAAGGCAAGGCTATTGGTGAGAGCAGATATGAGTTGATGATAGTTGGCCTCTGGTCTCCACAGATTTTGTAACTCCTTGGTGAGTTTTCAGTGTGTGTGTGTTTCTATATAATCATTATAGTCATGATAATAATCATTCTCTACCTCTCAGTAGCTAGAAATTTAGAGTAGTTGAAATCTGTAGGAATGTACCTCTGAGGGCCAAAACTATGACATATTTGGAACAATTCTTAAATGGATTAACAAGCTGTAATATAGTTTTGTGAATGTATTGCACTGATGCTGTACCTTGTGGTACATCTATCCCTATTAAATGAGTGTTATTTTCTCCCCTTTAATATTGCTGTAAACAGTGGCAGCCATTGTAGCATATGTTTTATTTTTCAAATGTTTTATATGAGAACTATCTTAAATTTACATGTGTTTCTTCATTGTAAATAAGCCTGTGTTCTTACTTCTTATCGGGACTTTTGTGTATGTGTATACATGTTCTATTGATTACTTTTGCAGTTTGAATCCTATATTATATCTTCTACTTTGTTATGTGTAAAAGGAGAAAAATGTTAGAAGCTTGTGGTAAAAAAAAAAGGCAGAAGTGTTGGTATAACACTTCTGAGTCTGGTTATAAAAGACAGTTTCTCTTTCTCTCTCTCTCTCTCTCTCTCTCTCTCTCCATATACTATAAAGAAAGCCATGTGATAAAAATCTGGGGCCTCTTGCCAACAGCTATGTGAGCAAGCCATCTTAGAAGTACACCCTCCAATCCTAGTCAAAAGTCTAAAGAGGGAGAGAGAAAAGAAAATCCACCCATACTAAGACTCTAAGTAAGGGAAATGCAGGAAAGGGAGTATTGTAATTCCTTTCCGTGTTTTTTGTATGCCTAAATGTTTTTTTGTTTATTTGTTTGTTTTTGTTTTGTTTTGTTTTGTTTGAGACTGGAGTTTCGCTCTTGTTACCCAGGCTGGAGTGCAATGGCACGATCTTGGCTCACCACAACCTCCGCCTCCTGGGTTCAAGTAATTCTTCTGCCTCAACCTCCTGAGTAGCTGGGATTACAGGCACGCGCCACCATGCCCAGCTAATTTTTTGTATTTTTAGAAGAGACAGGGTTTCACCGTATTAACCAGGATGGTCTCGATCTCTTGACCTCATGATCCACCTGCCTCGGCCTCCCAAAGTGCTGGGATTACAGGTGTGAGCCACCACGCCTGGCTGATTCATTATTGTATCATAAGCAGTTCAGCATTTTTATACAGTCTTAATGAACATCCTTTATTTGCTATGTGGTAGATAAAATTTAAATGAATAGAGCCAAGATTCTCTGCCCTAATCCCCAGAATCTTGAATGTGATGCAATATTACTCTAGTGATTTTGTTGAATTCCATGGCACAGTTGACATTTTGTATTTTAATTTATTTTATTTTATTTTATTTTTTGAGATAGAGTCTTGCTCCCTTGCCCAGGCTGGAGTGCAGTGGCACGGTCTCGGCTTACTACAACCTCAGCCTCCTGGGTTCAAGCAATTCTCCTGCCTCAGCCTCTCTAGTGGCTTGGATTACAGGCACCCATCACCACATCTGGCTAAATTTTTTTGCAGTTTTAATAGAGACAGTGTTTCACTATGTTGGCCAGGCTGGTTTTGAACTCTGACCTTAAGTGATCCACCCAACTCTGCCTCCCAAACAGCTAGGATTACAGGTGTGAATCACAGTGCTCAACCAACAGTTGACTTTTTTAAAGGGAGATATCTATGTGCCTGATGACATGAGACCTTAAAAACACATGAACTTTGTCTGGAAGATGAAGGCAGAAAGATTCCAAGCATGAGAAGAACTTGACATGCGACTGCTGGTTTGAGGATGGTGGGAATCACATAAGAAGGAATGCAGATTGCCTTAAGGAGCTCAGAAATGCCCCCAGCCCAAAAACATTAAGAATATGGAAACTTCAGTCCCACATCTGCATGGACTAGAATTCTGACAATAATAAGAACTGGCTGGTCATGGTGGCTCACACCAGTAATCCCAGTACTGTGGAAGGCCAAGGCTAGCGGATCACTTGAGGTCAGGAGTTTGAGACCAGCCTGGTCAACAAGATGAACCTCGTCTCTACTAAAAATAGAAAAATTAGCCAGGCATGATGGCAGGCACCTGTGATCCCAGCTACTCAGGAGGCTGAGGCACAAGAATTGCTTGAACCCACGAGGCAGAGGTTGCAGTGAGCCAAGATCGTACTACCGCACTCCAGCCTCAGCAACAGAGCAAGACTCCATCTCTCAGAAATAAATAAATAAATAAACCCCTGTAATCCCAACTCAGGGAGCTGAGATCAGAGGATTGCTTGAGCTCAAGAGTTCAAAACCAGCCTGGGCAACATAGCAGAACCCTGTCTCTACAAAAAAAAAGTAGTAATAATTAGTCAGGTATGGTGGTGTGTGCCTATAGCCCTAGCTACTTGGTAGACTGAGGTGAGAGAATTGCCTGAGCCCAGGAGTTTGATCCCACAGTGACCTATGATCATGTCACTTCCCTCTAGCCTGGGCAACAGAGAAACACCTTGTCTCTAAATTTTTAAAAATTTATTAAAAATTTTAATAAATCTAATGAATTAACTTGGAAGAGGACTCTGAACTCCACTTGAGTACGCACCTAGCCAATGCCTTGACTTTACTGCGGTTATGACCTAAGCTTAGAACTTGCTTGGACTTATGACCTACAGAACCGTAAACTAATATATCAGTATTGTGGTGATTTGTTATGCAGCAATAGAAACTAAGACAACTTTAAAATATTCCATTGATCATAGCATTCATAATATCATTTGCATAATATTGTTTTCCCTAATTAATAATGCCACTATGTGAACAATTCATACTCACCAAGTCCAAAGCCCTTAAATCTCATTTCTATGGTTTCTTTGGTTTCCTTCTAAACTGGAAAAAAAACAAAACCTGATTTCTAGTCTATATTTATTTAAATGAGAGTTCAAAAAAAGTGAATCATTAGACAAAAGGAACATGAACATTTTAGAGGCCTGGATTCATATTGTCAAGATTGCTTTCAAACATGACTATGTCTGTTCAAATTCCATCTCAAATGTTCATTTTATAACTTAGAATGAAAAAGCACTCCTACCTCACCTGAAGAGAATTTTGTTTAATCCTTGACTTAAAAATATATGTATATATATGTAACATATGACTGATCATAAACCTATGTTAACTTGGAGCAGCCCTCACTTTTGATGTCCCAATAACCTACCATCTGAGCTTCTGCTCTCTGGTCAACTTTTTCTCACATGGAGGCAGCCGCACAACAATCATGTACTCCCTAAACCCAGCTGACAGCAGGCTGTAGCATTTAACGGATTTCATTAAAAAATTGGAAGAGAACATAAGGAAATTATAAAGTGAGAAAGGAAAATCTTAACATTTACTGTAGATCTGTATTGTGATTAATGCCTATTGACTACCTCTTGCCATAAAAACCCCCTCCTGGCCCTCCTGCCTCACCCAGATTCGCCACCAAATTGCTATGTTCACTCTTCTTTGCCATCTTCTATTGACTCCCCTGATTATGTTCATGCTCCCCAAGTCTAAAGCCCCTAAACTTCACTTCTAACCTGAGTTATAAACCTCCAAAATATGTTAAGATCATATTTATGTATTGAGGATGCACATAATGAAGATAGCCTTACATAATTAATCAAAATACTTAACATCTCTCTCTGAAGCATTTGCATTTGGATTTCCAAAGTTTAGAGTCTCCTTAAAGAAAATGAGTATCACAGGCCGAGCGCGGTGGCTCAAGCCTATAATCCCAGCACTTTGGGAGGCCGAGGCAGGTGGATCACGAGGTCAACAGATCGAGACCAACCTGGTCAACATGGTGAAACCCTATCTCTAATAAAATACAAAAAAATTAGCTGGGCATGGTGGCACGTGCCTGTAGTCCCAGCTACTCAGGAGGCTGAGGCAGGAGAATTGCCTGAACCCAGGAGGCGGAGGTTGCAGTGAGCCAAGATCGTGCCATTGCACTCCAGCCTGGGTAACAAGAGCGAAACCCCATCTCAAAAAAAAAAAAAAGAAAGAAAGAAAATTAGTATCACCGCAGTGATCCCTCCAGGGCAACAATCCACTCCAACGACAAACCCCATCTTACAGCTTTAGATCCACAAGATACAAATAGTGGTCAAGATTTCACCTTCAAAACAAGGGGAGAGAAATTCTGAATTCCAATACCAGAGGCCCTACCACACAAAGCTTAGTGAAAATTCAAGACTAGAGTTGAAATAACTAAACTTGAATAGAGCTTACTATGTGCCACTACTGCTCTCAGTAACACTAGATATAGCTCTAGATATAGATATAGCTAATATAAATAGAGAATCATAACTCACAACGGCCTTGTGACGTAGATACTCTTATTATTCTCACTTTATAGATAAGGAAATAAACAAAAATATAGTGACTAGCTGAAGACCATCCAACTAGAAACTAGCAAACTCAAATCCAGGCAGTCTGGTTCCAAAGTCCCCAGTCTTAACTTACAGCAGGCACACAGGAAATATGAATTTTGGTGCAGCTAAAAGAGCCCTCATAGTCACCGTGTCCCTCACAGCACAGAGGTAAGAGGCAGAGTCTTTCATCTGGAGCTTCTTCACAAGGAGGTAACTGTATCCTTTAGAGCGATTAAGGAATGAAGAAAAATGACCTCTCTCCTCCAAACCATTCAGAACATTGTAAGAAAGAAACGTGGGTGCTTTGCCGTCACGTTGCTGGTACCAGGACAGCCCGTTGAACCCAGTTGTCTGGTATGTGCAATTGATCTGGACAATGGCTCCCTCCATAGCTGTCACCTCCGTGGGCTGGCCAATGTTTTGTCCTGCAGTGCCTATGACAAGACGCATGACTGTTACTAGGGCGGCGCTCCTGGAAGCCCCATCATTATTAAAAATGTTGCCTCCATGTGGTCACAAAAGAACTGCCATTAAGGGGAGTTTCTTAGAAAGAAATGACAGCAAAGTAGCAGCAGCAATAGATATTACTTGATATCCAATAACAATTAGCATCACATAAAGAAAATATCTATCAAGAAAGACTCTTTTGTTACAAATGTCAAAAGTGGCAATCATTTAGCTGAAAGAAAATTGTTTTGAAAACTCCCAGCAGCATTTGCTATTAGAATGAGACTTACTTCCCATCTTCATGGAAACATAAAGAAGGAAACCTCCCCACATCTGCTGCAGAATACCACGAGCCTGGCACTGCATCCCCGGTTCCTGAGCCACTGGAGTCTGCAGAAGGTAAACACTTCATGTGGGTGAGGGAAGGAAGCTCAGTCTGGATGTAAAACCCAGTAGCATCTCAAGGGGAGGGCCCCTTTCTTGAAGGGATGACTTTCAATTTCCTTCTACAGGAGCAGATATAGGTTCTGTTACTACAGAAGTGTCTTCACATGAACATTTCCTACCAAGAAATTCACAGGTTTTAATCTGAGTGATTCTGGTGAAGATTGAAAAAGGATAATGTATAAAGAACAGAGAAGGCAAATAGGAATAACATAAGGTAAAGTATTCAATTTCCCATCATAAGTGTTTCTCTTCTCAAGACAGAAAAAACTGGAAACAAGGGTGTAATTAGAGGTGGGGTGTGTGTGTGTGTGTGTGTGTGTGTGTGTGTGTTGGTGGTGATAATAGTGGTGGTGTTTGTGACAATAAGTAAGAGACAGAGTTTCAACCATCTAAATTTATCTACCAACAGATGATCAGATATTAAAGTTCAAAAGAAACATGTAGGTCTGTATGTGTATGTATATGTATGAATATACAGGAAGAAATGAGAAAAAAGAAGCTATTAACAGTTACTGCTGGGCGTGGTGGCTCACACCTGTAATCCCAGCACTTTGGGAAGCCAAGGTTGGTGGATCACCTGAGGTCCAGAGTTCAAGATCAGCCTGACCAACATTGTAAAACCTCATCTCTATTAAAAATACAAAGTTAGCTGGCTGTGGTGGTGCATGCCTGTAATCCCAGCTACTTGGGAGGCTGGGGCAGGAGAATCACTTGAACCTGGGCAGCAGAAGTTGCAGTGAGCCAAGATCACACCATTGCACTCCAGCCTGGGTGACAAGAGCAAAACTCCATCTAAAAAAAAAAAAAAAAATTAGTCGCTTCAGAGGATTGAAATTAAAAGAAAATAGCGGAAATGTTAACCTTTTCTGGTATATCTCTGTTTTGTTTGACTTGAAATTTGTTACATAATAAACTGAGAATGTGGAAGAAAGAAAAAGAAGGAACAAAAAAGGAAGGAGGAAGACTAGGTGTAAAACAGAAAGGAAAACAGAAAGGAGGAAGAAACCTATGTTTCAAACTATTTCCCATTTGTTACAAAAGAAAGTTAATTCTTTTTGACACATAATTTTCCCAAACTAATGAATGTCTCACATATATCTTTACCAGAGTAATTTGTAACCCTCATGAACTCTCTGGATTTATTTCTATTTACTCCATACAGCAATTGAACTTTGTTTCAATAAAGATGATACTGACATCTTGTGGTGAAATGTAGCAGTGCAGCCTCACACACGCACAGGCACATGCACGCGCGCACACACACACACACACACACACACACCCCTAACATTTTCTTACTTTAGAATTAAAAAGAAACTTAAAAATCATCCAGTCTTTGTCCAGCTCCATCATTTTACAGGGGAAGTTCTTGATACTCTTGAAGATTTTATTACACTGCAGGCTTTATATCTTCATTTATAGTCAATTTCCCAATGTTATTTAGATTAACATTAATTTTTTTTGAGAGAGACAGAGAGGGTTTCTCTCAGTTGCCCATGCTGGAGTGCAGTGGCAGGATCATGGCTCACTACAACCTCAACCTGCTGGGCTCAAGCGATCTTTCTGCCTCAGCCTCTCAGAGAGCTAGGATTACAGGCATGCAGCTAAATTTTTGTATTTTATTGTTGAGATGGGGTCTTGCTGTGTTGTACAGGCTGGTCTTGAACTCCTGGCCTCAAGTGATCCTCCGGTCTCAGCCTCCCAAATTGTTGGGATTACAGGCATGAGTCATTATGCCTGGCCCAATATTAAATTTGTGAAATGAATAAATGGATCTCTGAAGCTACTTGCCCCAGTATATGCAGGTCAATAGAGGACCAATTTGATGTCAGATCTACTCCGGGTAATTTTAAATGTTATATTTAAAATTATTTGATTAAAAAGTATTTGAAACTATAGCTTTTTCTTCTGCTCATAGTATTTAATATGTGTGGCACTTTTGACTATTAATATATTCAGAAGTACATATTGAGAATGTATTACATGCCAGGTACTATGCTAGTAGTGCTGGGGATTCTAAGCTAAGCGAAGCCCATATTCTAGTGAAGGGAGACAAACAGTAAACAAACAAGTAAATACAGTGTTTCAGATGGTGCCAAGTGCTAAGAGAAAAATAAAATAGGGAAGGGGAAGGAGAGGGTCAACAGAAACCTCACTGATTAGGTGATGCCTGAACAGAAACCTGAAGATGATTGGAATCCTGATGAATATTTAGGAAGGGAAGGGGATCAGTTGATATCTCATAAAACCTCTAAGAAATTAAAGATCATTTAAATAACATACAAATGAGGTCGTCCCCCCCACCACCACCACGCCACCCACCAGTTTCCTTTCCAGGGATCCTACTAGAAACATTTCCAGCTCTCTCTCAAAACAAAATAATGAGGATTTGGGGAGGAACGACTTCATTAGTGAAATACTTCAGAGCAGGGTTTCCCTCGAGGTTAGAATTTTTCTTCAAATCTCTTGGCAGTGTCTTTTTTTCTTCTAATCCAGAAAAAGCAACAGCTGATGGAAACTGACATAAAATATGACTGAATATATACAGAAGTCACACACGTCTAAGAGCCCCAAAAGCCAGGTGCTCTCCCAGGTTCTGAACACTTATTTGTCGGGCCAAACTCCTAAAGAAACAAAATGCTAAAGCCTTTCCAAAACAGATGTGGGAGCCTTTTATAGTAGGCGAGACTAATCTCTGAAGACCATTTCTCTATCCGCTGGACCGCTGCACTCAAGGACAGCCAGCCTCCTCCACAATTGTGCAGCTCTGTACATGTGAGTCTAAACTAATAGAAAAAGCAGCCCTGACACCAGTTCGGTTCAAAATAGGCTGCAGACTAATTTTGGAACTTTAAGACTTTCTGTTATTTTGTCCAAGTGTTAATTTAATCCATCTCTTTTCTTCGTCTTTTTCCTCAACTCTTTCCCAAACTGCTAGAATTAAGTTCCTTCTTTTCAAACTTGGGAATTTCTTTTTGCGTTGAGAAAACGACTCAAAAAAACCTCACAACACTATTTTCTTTCCATGTTCTCATTTTATTAGGGTGGTGATAAAGGGCAGAGTTGGGCAGTGATGCAGTCATAGGGATCATGGAGAACATGCTTCAGTGGTTGTGCAAACACAAAGAAAGGCTGGATTCATCATCTTTTCCTTCTCAGTGAAGAGCGTACTAAGTACTTTTTCTAAGCAAGGTCGTTTTTGTTTAACCTTTGGTAAAAGGAAAGAATGTGCTCTTGTTAATTCAATAAAATATGTCTAGGCCACCTCAAATTCTATCCATTTCCTCTACTCTGCCCTAGCTCTACCAGGATGTCTAACTCTGAATGAAGGATGACAGAAGGTGAAACTTCTTTTTGAAAGCAGTTGTGGGTTGGGTCTTGTCACAAAGGTAAACAGGAGTCCTTTGATCCTAATATATCCAATACAATGCTGGACCAGCCTTCACTCCTCATCTTCAGGATTTCATGACTGTTGAGTAGTAGTCCAGATCCCAAAGGTCACTTGTAGAAATCTAAACTTTCAAATTGCTGGATAGAGGCTTGCCCTTCTCAGCACCTCTCTAAATGGAAATACATTGCAAGAAATGTGCTCACATCAAACTAGCTTGATTTTGGCCAGGGTACAGGCATAGAAAGCAGCTTATCCTGTGATCCCATAATGCCACAGAGGTCCCTTGAAAGTGTTCTTGCCCCTCCCTTTCCTTATCTTCTCAATGCCACTCTTTCACCCCATTCCCAGAGTCTCTTCCTAGAGTTTCCGGGCTAATTGCTTTGTAAAAATATATTGTTTATTCTCTGATGTCACTGGGCTCTTATTTTCAGATGCTTTCTACATTGGACTTTAACTTTTTGTCATTTTCATGTGCTTTGATTTTTTTAAATTCTGATCTATCCAATTGGAGAATATCCAGTACAGTCTAAAACTTGGGAAATTTTAGAATATTTTGCTTATCTAATTAGCCCGGATAGATGTACTAAAGTTGCATTTAACTTTCTTTATCTTAAATATCCTAAGTTTCAAAAGCTAAAAAAGAGGAACAAACCTAAAATAAAATGACACAAAGCTAGAAGATAAGGGAGGGGGATAGGACGATCCACAAATGTGGCCTCTACATTCGTCATTTTTTTGGGGGGGGAGTGGGACAAGGTCTCAGCCTGCCACCCAGGAAGGAGTACAATGGTACCATCATGGCTCACTGCAGCCTTGACTTTCCAGGCTCCAGTGATCCTCCTGAGTATCTAGGACTGCAGGCGTGCACCACTATACCTGGCTAATTTTTAAAATTTTTTGAACTGACAGGGTCCCAATATGTTGCCCAGGCTGGTCTCAAAACTCCTGTGCTCAAGCGATTCTCCTGCCTCAACCTTCCAAAGTGATGGGATTACAGGCATTAGCCACCATGCTCAGCCTTTTGTCTCCTCTAAGCTGGTCCAAGACTGTTTGCCTCTCTTGCCAAGAAAGCCAATCCATCTGTAAACACAATGTTGCTCCAAAAATCTACCTTCTGGAAGTCTAAGCTATCTTCTTCTGAAGCCTCTGAACACCAAACCCCAAGTTAAAACCATCATTCTTGACCAAGTCTGCCTGGAAAGATAACCTGTCCTCAGACCCACCAGCTATAACACACTTTAGTTTCCTGCCTTCTCCCAGACAGGCACCCAGAACCTAGAAGGGTAAAAAGAGCTTTCTTTCAACAGGGAACCTGGGAGAAATGAAATCAAACTTATGCACAACAAAAGAGGGAAAATCAGACTGACAAAGTAGATAAATTAGGGAGAAACTTTTCACTACACATAAGTATGCATCATGGAAGTCCTTCAAATAATTGCCCCAGTGGTACAGTTCTATCTGATTTGAAATATAAAAATTTGATTTTCATAAAACATTTTATGAATATATAATTTGCCTAAGTAGAAGCACACTAGTTTATATGTCTGAATTGACAAAGAAAATTACTTTAACTCAAAATTAGTACTTTTTTGAACAATTTTAATCTCAATGCTTTCTATCTTTTCTCTATATTCTAACCACAGAAATAAGATTTAGTTTTCCCATCTGTTTTCAAATATATTGAAGTGTCCTCCTGAAACTCAGGCAATAAAAGCCTGATATTTCTTCATTCTTGGTGGGCAAAGGACAAATTTAACATTTTCCACAGATGTCAAAAAGTCAGATATATCCGGTATTATTATTATTACTACTAATAACTCTTGAATGTTAGCATATGAATTGTTACTTCAGAGAATACTTAAGATAAAATCTCTTTGGGGAATTTCTGATAGAGATTAAACAGTTAAACTTATTAATATTCACATGTTATTTATCAATAATCTATTGCCATTTTAATTGATTTCTGAAAATAGTCATTTGCATTACAAAGATACTTTGTGGTTAAATGAAAGATAAAAGCATCTGAAACCATACATAGAGTGAAAGTCTTTATCAAGCAACCTATTCAACAAAGAGTGAAACAAACACATTCCATCCGTCCATCTGATTCAGATACTTGAAAATCAGTAAAGGTCTTTAGAGAGAGTTGTTGTGTAATAGACTGCAATACACAGATATTACACACAAGCACACTAAAGTTCAAGTCCTGCATTAATCAATGATTTTATAACAAACAATAAAATTCCTCTGACTTCATCCCAAAAAATATCCAATCCCAGACCAATAAACCATATAAATCACCAAATAAATCTAAATGATAACAGGCATGAATGTTTCTTGGAGGTTTTTTTTATCATGAACTACACGTATATTACATTATGAATGAGATGGTCCCTTGACCTTAAAGTCCCAGCCAGGTGGGCACAAGGTTCAGACAAACAAGATCAAGCAGAGAAACAATGTATTCAGTCAGGGGGATTTGGCAACATCCATTCAATCTGCCTCAGTCATTCAGAAAACAATTACGTATTTGACACTTTTACCTGCTAGACAGATGACTACTAAGGGAGAAAAAAATAAGTTAGACAATGCAACATAGTGTATGTGCTCTGAAAAGTACATAAACTATTGTCCTCAGGAAGCAGGAAAGCCTTCTTAAAGAGAAGACACCCAAACTCAATCCTGAAAGAAAAGTGGGCACTACCTATGTAAAGGGAGCAGAAGAGGTAATGTGTGCATAAGCCCCAACTGAGAGCACGCTACTGTGAGAACCTTGGGGAGTGTCATGCATCCCAACAGTAAGAAGGAATTACGAGTGGTACAACAGGGACAAGAATACGGGCCAGACAAGGAATATTTTTGCATGCTATGGTGAGGAGATGAGATTTTAGCTGAGAAAAAGGGGACAATGATAGTAGGTGAAGAAAAAGTAGATGCAGTAATGTACGGTGTTTGTTCCACACTGTTCTGAGTCTACCTTAGCCCCTCTTTGGCAAACTCTTTGGAGTTTTCAGTACTTCTCTATCACTCACATGCGTCCTTCTTTCTTCATCTGGCAAATCCTACCTCTCAGTATCTCTCAATGGACAAGAGTTTCCACCCATCAAGAAACTAACCAGCCTCTGGAGGGCTTCTCCTATTAGGCAAACCTAAATAATTAATGGTGACACCACTTCCTCTTCTAAAAAACAATTTAACACTATCTTTTTATCTCATAACTCCTAGGCATCAATCATCCTACAAAAGCATTTCCTTACATCATTGTGCTGTGTTTCTCTTGTCAAACGTCACCATTCATCTTAGCAGACTACAAAAAGACATGGGAAAGACCAAAAACACATCACTGGATGCTGTGGTGACAGATTTCATTCTCCTGGGCTTGTCTCACCCCCCAAATCTAAGAAGCCTTCTCTTCCTGGTCTTCCTCCTCGTTTACATCCTGACTCAGCTGGGGAACCTGCTCATTCTGCTCACCGTGTGGGCTGACCCAAAGCTCCATGCTCGCCCCATGTACATTCTTCTGGGAGTGCTCTCATTCCTGGACATGTGGCTCTCCTCAGTCATTGTTCCTCGGCTTATGTTGGATTTCACTCCTGCCAATAAGACTGTCCCATTTGGCGGCTGTGTGGCTCAGCTGTATTTCTTTCACTTCCTGGGCAGCACCCAGTGCTTTCTCTACACCTTGATGGCCTATGACAGATACCTGGCAATATGTCAGCCCCTGCGCTACCCAGTGCTCATGAATGGGAGGTTATGCACAGTCCTTGTGGCTGGAGCTTGGGTTGCCGGCTCCATCCATGGGTCTATCCAGGCCACCCTGACCTTCCGCCTGCCCTACTGTGGGCCCAATAAGGTGGATTACTTTATCTGTGACATCCCTGCTGTATTGAGACTGGCCTGTGCTGACACAACTGTCAACGAGCTTGTGACCTTTGTGGACATCGGGGTAGTGGCCACCAGTTGCTTCGTGTTAATTCTGCTCTCCTACGCCAACATAGTCCATGCCATCCTGAAGATACGCACTGCTGATGGGAGGCACCGGGCCTTCTCCACCTGTGGCTCCCACCTAACCGTGGTCACAGTCTACTATGTCCCCTGTATTTTCATCTACCTTAGGGCTGGCTCCAAGAGTCCCCTGGATGGGGTAGTGGCTGTGTTTTACACTGTTGTCACTCCATTACTGAACCCCCTCATCTACACACTGAGGAACCAGGAAGTGAAGTCTGCTCTGAAGAGGATAGCAGCAAGTCGAGGGACTGTGAATGAAAATAAGTAACTACATCTGCATCATCATCACTGCTACTGTCTTCAGCTACTGCTGCATGTGACAAATGTTCAATAAATAGATGTTAGTTTCAGCTGAAATGAATATAATTCTTTTTTTTTTTGAGACGGAGTCTAGGTCTGTCACCTAGGCTGGAGTGCAGTAGTGTGATCTCCGCTCACTACAACCTCCACCTCCCAGGTTCAAGCAGTTCTCCTGCCTCAGCCTCCTCAGTAGCTGGGATTATAAGCACCCACCACCACACCCAGCTATTTTTTTTTTTTTTTTTTTTTTTTGGATTTTTCGTAGAGATGCGGTTTCACTGTGTTGGCCAGAGTGGTCTCGAACTCCTGACCTTGTAATCTACCCACATCAGCCTCCCAAAGTGCTGAGATTACAGGCATGAGCCACTGTGCCCAGCCTGAAATGAATACAATTCTACTAGGAAGAAACTTCTGGTACTATATTTAACCCCAAGAAATTATCCATAGCTGTTTTGTTTTACCCTTTTCTGACTCAGCTCTCAAGAGAAAGCACATGTTGACTCTGAGAAATTTATGCTTTCTTCTAAAAGGAGGGGAAATTATTCCAAGCAAATCTGGGGAAAACCAACATAATATGGTCCTACATTTATTTGCTTTGCTCCTAATTTCCCAAGCCTCTAGGCATTCAGAATTGCTTTGCTCACATCAAGGCAAATCCATCCTTCCAAGTACTTAGAATCTCTATGCAGTTCATCTGTGTTTCCTTTCAGCCCCTCACTTTCCTCCATATAGTAAATCACCAAATCCTGTTCACTCTGCCTCAGAAATGTCTCTCTGGCTTCTTAAGGGGTCTCCTTATCACCTCCACTTTCCTCCATACAACTACCAGAGTTTTCTTTCCAAAATGTTCAACTAAATATTTTATTTCCTGTGCTTATAAATATTTACTGGCTATCCACTGCATATAAATAAAGCCATACCTCTTAGCTTATATGGTCCTCAAGGCCAAAAACATTTATTATCTGCCGCTTTAGAGAGAAAATTTGCTTACCTCTTCTCTCGCCACTTTAACACAAATGTGGCTTGGAAGCTATAGAGACCTCCACAAAAGTTTGGTGATAAAAATAACAAAACTATACCACATTCAATGTGTTCTCTTACAACATGGACCATCTCTGGACATTTCAAGAAAGTTTGGGAAAAGATGTGACAACACAAGATGTAAGTCTAGAAGAAAATAAGTTAGACCAAACTCAAAGTATTCAAAGAAACAAGACCAAGAAACACTAAGAAAAATAACAGGCCAGGCATGGTGGCTTGCACCTGTAGTCCCAGCATTTTGGTAGGCAGATGCAGGAGGATCACCTGAGCCCAGGAGTTCAAGACTAGCCTGAGCAATCTAATGAGACCTCACCTCTATAAAAAATTTAAAAATTAGTCAGGTGTGGTAGTGTGTGCTTATAGACCCAACCTCTTGGGAGGCTGTGGTGGGAGAATTGCTTGAGCCTAGGAGGATGAGGCTGCAGTGAGCCGTGATCATGTCACTGCACTCCATCCGGAGCAACAGAGCAAGACCCTGTCTCAAAAAATAAATAAATAAAATTGTAAAATTAAAAAAGAAAAATCAGGCCAGGCATGGTGGCTCACACCTGTAATCCCAGCACTTTGGGAAGCCGAGGCAGGCAGATCGCCTTAGGTCAGGAGTTCAAGACCAGCCTGACCAACATGAAGAAACCCTTTCTCTACTAAAACTACAAAATTAACCAAGTGTAGTGGCACATGCCTGTAATCCCAGCTACTCGGGAGGCTGAGGCAAGAGAATCACTTGAACCCAAGAGGTGGAGGTTATGGTAAGCCAAAATCGTGCCATTGTACTCCAGCCTGGGCAACAAGAGTGAAACTCTGTCTCTAAATAAATAAATGAAAAATTACTGCTCAGGGACCTTGACTTAAAACATTAGAGATGACAGTTGGATCAGATGACCTCTAATGTCTCTCCAACTCTGAAATTCTATGTTTCTTCTAGTCTATGAAGATCTATGTTAGCACCTGGTAATTCAAAGAGTGAATTTCATAAAATGTGAATGCACCAATTAAAAAAAATCTCTTGACAAGTAACAACCATGTTAGCTTTTCTTTTTCTCTTTTTTTCCAAATTTATTTTGGAACAGAAAGAGAACCACAGATCTGAAGATTTCAACAAGATCTGTTAAGCCCCATGGACTTTGTCCCACCTGCTGTTACAAAATTGGAAAAAGCTAGAAACCCAGGGAGTCTCCTAGGAAACAAACTATGGATATTCGTCTTGTCTATCACAGGAGTGCTATTACAATATTCCCCAAGCTAAAAGTCTCACACATAGAAACTGACTCTGAGGGAAATAAAAAGAAGTAGTAGAACACAGGAGAGACCAACCTTAGCAGTTACCTTCAGAAAGAGCCACAGCTCTTTCCCCATTCATAAGGAAGCTGAAAGTGGATATCTACAAATAAGCAAGCAAATAATAAATTAAGTTTCCATAGTTTGACCCTTTTCTTTGATCCAGCCAAAAGTAATTAGTTGGGTCTTCCGCCACAAGCTCTTCACAATAATCTCTGCTGACCCTATGAGATATTCAAGTTTCTTTAGGAATAGATTTTTATCCTTTCTCTCAGATTGCAAGAGGAATTGTTGATGGATGCTGACACCTCCAGGTAAGAGTACTCTCCTCCTCTCCAAATACACCTGTCATTATTCTAATCCCATTTTTCAGAGATAAATGTGAAATCCAAACATTGTTTAAGGGGTTTCTCTATTCTGAGTCACTTCATCTCTCAACGTTCTTCCTTGTTTAGTTACTCAGTATAGTTCTCTTTCTGCTGTCACAAAAATTTTATTTACTGTTCTGCTCATCATATGACTCTGCAACTATCATTTAGCCTTTTTATAAATAGTGGCTAATAGGCCGGGTATGATGGCTCACATCTGTAATCCCACCACTTTGGGACGCCGAGACCGGCAGATTGCCTGAGGTTAGGAGTTCAAGACCAGCCTAATTAATATGGTGAAACCCCGTCTCTACTAAAAATACAAAAATTATCTGGGTGTGGTGCTGCATGCCTGTAATCTCAGCTACTCAGGAGGCTGAGGCAGGAGAATCGCTTGAATCTGAGAGACAGAGGTTGCACTGAGCCGAGATGGCGCCACCGTATTCCAGCCTGAGCAACAGAGCCAGACTCCATCTCAAAAAAAAAAAAAAAACTGGCGAATAGTAGGATAACACTATTTCCCCCAGGCCTTCAATTGGCTACATTTTTCTTCAAAGCTATTCTCCATTAAAGGTTCATTTACTGCCTGGTTCTAATACCAACCAGACTAGGAAGAACATCTTGGAGTTCTGCGGTGGTGCCACCCTTGCTCTGTTCTTTTGGTCCTCTCCAGATTCCTTCTACCACCTATAAGACAAGTTCTCTGCCAAAATTTGAAAAATGAATGTGAGTAAAGCTATAATATGATTTCTTTGTTGGCAAATATTTTAAACAGACAATTCAAACTTGTTGCTAAGAAGAGTTTTACATTTTAATGGAAACTCTTTCTCATGTCTCACAATTTAATAACTCAAACTTTTCTTATATATATATTTGTTCCAATATTATTCATCTTTAGATTTTTTTTTTTTTAATATAAAGACGGGGTTTCACCATGTTGGTCAGGCTGGTCTTGAACTCCCGACCTCAGGTGATCCACCCGCCTAGACCTCCAAAGTGTTTGGATTACAGGCATGAGCCACTACGCCCAGCCTTATTGTTTATTTTATATGTGTTACTGTGAAATTCATAAAAAAGGCAATCAATTATATTAGCTTTCTACATATTTGAAATGCTTTCTATAAATAAAAAAGTGTGCTTTGAGTTGGCTTTTAGAAAATAATAAAATTTTTAAAGTTTTCTTCATGGCCATTTGAAAGATGAGTTAGGGATACAGTTTGGGACCAGAATTAAGTAATGGGGTTAAGCATGTGCCCTTTGCCTCATTAGAAAAGGTGCCTAATCTTTTTGGTTGATCAAAATTATACAATTATATTTAGTTGTGGTCTCTTAATATTTCTCATATATTTTTCAAACATTCTTGTACCAAATGATCTTTATTTTATTTATTTATTTACTTTTTCTTTTTTTTTTTTTTGAGATGGAGTCTTGCTCTGTTACCCAAGCTGTAGTGCTGTGGCAGAATCTCGGCTCACTGCCTTCTCCGCCTCCCAGGTTCAAGTGATTCTCCTGCCTCAGTCTCCTGAGTAGCTGGGATTACAGGTCCATGCCACTATGCCTAGCTGATTTTTGTGTTTTAGTAGAGAGATGGAGTTTCACCACATTGGTTGGTCTCAAACTCCTGACCTCAGGTGATCCACCCACCTCAGCCTCCCAAAGTGCTCGGATTACAGGTGTGAGCCACTGCGCTTGGCCTTTAGATGGCCTTTAATATTTGATATCAGATGAAAGAGAATTCAAAAACACGTTTCATCAGTACCTTCAAAGACTAAGTATCTGTGAAACAGAAACACTACTAAGCCCTGGGGCTTTTTTTTTTTTTTTTTTTTTTTTTTTCTGAGACAGAGTTTTGTTCTTGTTGCCCAGGCTGGAGTACAATGGTGCTATCTCAGCTCACTGCAACCTCACCTCCCAGCTTCAAGTGATTCTTCTGCGTCAGCTTCCGGAGTAGCCGGGATTACAGGCATGTGCCACCGTGCCTGTCTAATTTTGTATTTTCAATACAGACAGGAGTTTCTCCATATTGGTTAGGCTGGTCTTGAACTCCCAACCTCAGGTGATCCACCAGCCTCGGCCTCCCAAAGTGCTAGGATTACAGGGTAAGCCACCACGCTAGCCTCCGTCAGGCTTTTTTAAGAAACACTCAGTGTGATAGACTGTCAGACATTGAAAGAAGTTGGGCAATTTCATGAATTCATGGTAACAAAATTTCAGTCTAGTTTGATTTTAGAACTTGCTCTTAGTGCTACTGCGTCTCAATTCTGAAGTAGGGTAGTAACACCAGTTTAGAGTCCTTGACAGAATGAGCCGTAAGAGTCTTTAAATTGTTATTC